CTAAAATACGTTTTAGACTGTAAATAAGTGACCTCTAAGAAGAAAATCAAAAAAAAAAATGTCCTTCCACTTCAGCACTGGTCCTGCCATCTATGATTGGTACCTAAACCTTTTTCTAGTCCGTTTTCTTTATAAAACAGCATTTGGGCATGTTAAATCTCAATTGTAAAACTTTAAGCCAATCCTAGTCGAAGGTGTCAATTTCAGTACCATGTTATTCCAATCACTGTATTTCATGTTCGACAAATCATAGGATGATAAGGAAAGCATGTGATGAAACGTTGTTCTCTGGATTTTACAATATGAATGTGAAGGGTGCTTATTATAGTAACTGCCATTTTATGTAGAGGTTGTATTTAGTATTGGCCAATAATGCTTTTCTATAAGCATTAGAAAACTTGCTTCTGGAAAAAACTGCATGCGATGTACGTGACTTTTATTATTTTTATATAGTAGCATAAGTCATGCTGCATCGTATATCTATTTATATTAATCATTATATTGAAAAATTAACTCAAAATAGATATATGTTTTTGGAAAGAAGTTGATCCACGATTGTTAGGGTTAAGAGCTATCGAGTTGCAAGTGCAAAGTCTTTACATGAATTGGGTTTAGCACTTTGAACTGAAAGAGTTTGTGATTTTTTCATTCTTCTGCATTTAAATTTGTAGTTTTGAGTTAAATAATTTAGCATAATTTTATATTTAGTTCATAATAATAATAATAATATGATTCAGTATTTAGAATGATAAACTTGTGTGATTTGTACGTAATATTACTAGTACCAGTACTACATAAGAATTTTATATTTTTCCTTTATACAATCTTTTCTTTGTAGTGAGACCCACACTTCTGTTGTTATTGCTTTAGAATTAAAACAGTCTAACTGATATATATAAAGTTTATTCTGATATTTTGCAAATGGTTTAAAACTCAGTGTGCAAGTGACAACAATAAAACCCATATGCTGGTTGTGAAACAGACTAACTACATTCATTTCAATAAACACAGGGAAGCTATGATATTCTCACAGTTCGAGTCTCAATACACTAAAGAGCTTAAGTTTTGAATTCCAACATAAATCTTGCCTATAATGAGAGGAATGTGACAAGGAATAATCTTTTAAATGCTGTAAAATAATTTTCTTTGTAATTTATAGTATCTGTATCATTTGGTAATCTCTTGTAACAGGATGTATCAAGTAACTATGGTCAGGCGGTGTTATTGAAGCCACCTGTACTGTAAACTGTTTCGTACATTCGCTAGTA